CAAGCATTATACAATTATAATTTTTCAAATATATTCTTTTAAATATATACTATAATTATATATATAAACTTACATAGTAGCATAAACTACTTTTGTTAATAAATTTGTTTTAGTTTGTTTGATTTATAGTTACAATAATTATAAAAATAATTGTTATTAAGTTTTATAATCTAAAGCATATAGTTTAAAAATTTTTAAGATTTTAAAAATAATTGTATTCAAATAAATATATAAATAATAATTGACATTAATTGCAGTAATCTTAGGAATGCACCAGTCTGGTTCAGTTTATTTCAGTCCTATCAGAACTAATTATATATTTTTACAGTTCTGGTCTTGATCCAGTCTCAGTCCCAAAATGGTCCTTTTATATGATTGGTTAATTTTTTGATGTTAAAGAATATATAGTATATTTGAGTGAAAAGCTGAATATAAATATTTAAATGTTTATAATTACATAACATCAGATTTTACAAGACCAAATGGGCTAACTTATCATAATGAAAACTTAAATATTTACTTCAAGCTTTTTGTTCTGCAGCATTTATTTTATAAATTTCTAGGATTCCAAATAACTTTCTGATATTAGAACAGCATATATTTTAATTAAGTATAAATATAAAAAACTGTAAACTTACAATAAAATAGCTAAGTAGTTTTACATAAATATTGGAATAAGTCTAATTAATTAATTAGTCAAATAAGTATAATAATTTACAGATTTTTTAGTTGACTAAACTGATTCCAATCTTTAGTTTTACAATATAGAATAAATAAATTTATAGTATTCTTCAATTAACCTTCTCTAAATGCATTTAAAAAATATTGAAATTGTATAGATATCAAATATATTAGGTTGGTAAAAAGTAGCAGTATCACATATATATGATAAATAATTATAAAAAATTCAATATTAAAAAAACATTAAAAGGATTGCTGTTTAGTTATAGCAGAGACAGTGTCTGATTCAAAGTGAATCTCTCTTGCCTGTAATCAATTACAAATTAAATTATTTATATTAAATTTAATTGTGATGGATATAATATTTTATCAGTTTTAATATATATATAATATTAATGGTCTCTGCTATACTGTTCAGTTATTTTTCACTAACCTAGTATACATAGGCTGGAACTTAATGCTATATTTAAAGAGAGGTTATTTGCACTTGAAAAAAATTAATTATAATTATGATAATTTTTTTAAGGATACTGTAATTATTGCAATGTTTTTTTTAAGGATTAACTTATAGAATATAATACTAATATTATTTTTTTTTTTTTTTGTGATTAAATGTAAATACAGTTAAGAATTTGGATATAAAAAACCATTTTATAACAAGCTCTAGATATAATGAACTTAAAATTCTGACAATTTATAATAGTTTTATATATAATTGCCAAAAGTTCTTAAGAAAACCTAGAAATTTTTATAATGACTTTTTTTTTATAATTTTTAATTATTATAAAAAAAGATAAAGACTATATATTATATTGTTATATAGGCTACAACTTACTTTTTTTAATAATGAATACAAATAAGACATTTGTAATTACTTACTATCTATTTTTTAACAATATGTTTAACTAGACAAAAAATTAATTGCTTATTTTTTTTTAAATCCAGATTTTTAAACATAACACTACTCTTACAACTTTACTATCTAACCTATTTCTTGACACTGTAATTGTTTAACTAGCAATTAAAAAAGCCTGTTCTAAAGCTATACTTGTTGCTTAAATATATAGATAATTCTTAGCAATTAAACTTAGTTTTGAATATTCATGTTGTTTTTCTTGCTACCAAAGCAATGGATCCATCTTATTCTCCAAACTTAAGGCCAAGTATCTTTCTAATTCATCTTGTATATTATTCATTGTTGGTAATAATGAATCTGATTAAGTTTTTTAAAAATAATCAGATATGCACAATTGACAGAAATAATTTTGTATAAATGATAAATTATTAGAAGTTAATGTTGTTTTTGATATTATAGAATACTCTTGAAGATTTGATACTAAATTGATTGCTTTTGTTTTTTTATTCAGAACTCTAAATGCTGTTAATTTTGTTCTTGGATCAAGTAATGTCAAAATTTGTGAATTTTCATCTAAAATTAGCTAATACTTTTCTAATTTTTAATAAATTCAGTTGCTACCTAATTTTGAGAGAAATTGGCATTATTTTTGTATCATAATAAATAATTATAGATATTAAGAAATACAAATTATATATCATCATATATTGGATAACTTGATGCAGAAAAAAGTTAAATAGCATATTCAATTGATTCTAAAAGAATCATTGTATTATTTATTTTAATTAGTTTATTAATTTGTATTAGTATATATATATTTTTTTTAATTTTATTTTTTTTTAAAAAGAAATAGTTATATTAATATTGATATGATCATTTTCATCAGGATATTTTTGACAGATTATTAAATCATTAGTCACAAGCATAATTAAAAGAAATTATATTTTTTTTTATTTATTTAGTATATAATAAGTAAAATTTTATCTGTGTTTAATATCAAGCTTAGGTGCTAAATACTCAATGTTTTTTATTTCATATAATTTTTTTAAATTATTGATTGTAGACTATAAAATTTTGATATAAGATATTAATGATCACACTTTAACTATAGACTTATTAATAAATCTAATTTACTACTAACTACTAAGTCAATATATGAACTGCATACTAATAATATAAAAATTTAAAATTATTAAAACTTACAAGTTTTTCTGCTACAATTGTAGCATATAAGATTATAAAAGATGCATTATCTGTAATTAAAGCTAGAGTTTTTTCAAATATATTATATTCATTCAAGATATTCATAATTGTATTAGTAATATTGACATTCATGTGTCATTTCTTTATTAAGATTATATCAAGAAGAAAGTGTTTCAATTTCTAAAATGAGTTAACATAATGGATAGTAAGGCTTAAAAATAATATGCTATTTGATGCTATTCATAGGTCTGAAGTAAATGCTACTTTATTAGAGATTTTATATAATGCTAATTTTACTTCCTTTTTTTTTTGTTAAAATAGTTTTGTTACATAGTTTCTTATTATATTTCTACTAGAAAATTGATATCTTAAATCAATATTTGAAATTATAGCTTGCCATTCTTTACTCTCTATAATATTAAATAGATGCAAGTCACAAATAATCCATCTTACAACCAGATTATCTCATTCTTGTTGTTCAATTTCTAAATAAGAATTTATAACTAAATGCTTATGCTTTCATTTGGTGCAATTATATCATATATTTTTAGATGACATCTTAATGTTGAAGTTGAAGTTACTGCTAAAAATGGTGTATTATACAATTTACAAACAGATGAACCAGTATTTTCATTAAAGTATGACCATATAGTTGAATTACACTTTTTAGATAAAGCTAGATTCAGAGAAGTTGTATTTTGCAAGTTGTCTTGTTTACTTTAATTATATGAAGCTAAATCATTATTATTATTTTTATCATACTTATCACTAGAAAAATCTAAACTAGCATCATGATATTTTTTTTAATTAGCACTCATTTTTTAAGAATAAAATACTTAATAATTTGGTAATAAGAAAAAGGGTTTTACAAATTACAAAGATCAAGAAGCAATGTAGATTTTATAATTTGAGTAATACAAAAAAGCTATTGCAAAGTGATGTAAAGATCAAAAATAATAAACTCTATAATGTATTTGGATTAATTATATAAATATAATTTAGAAAAAAATTATTTTTACTTCTATATATTTATTATTTTTTTCTTTAATTCAAATTGAATTTTATTCAAATCAAAAATAAAAAATTTATATAAATGTTATTCTATGATTTTTATTTATATTTTTAGCCTAATTTTATTAGAAAAATTGCACAACATTTGTCATATAATTGTTAAACCATATCTGAATAATCAGATCACAAAAATCATACAATGTTTGGCATATTATCATTAAAACACACATATATAATCATTAACTTGTAATTTCTGATTATTAAAAACACATCCAAGTAATCAGGTCAGAAAAATTACATGATTTATTCACATAATAACCCTTACATTATCTTAATGATTAATCCACATATGAACACAAGCTAATTAAGGCTAAAAAGGTTCAATCTAAATGATTAATGCTGATCATGCAATTTACTTTGATTACCATTAAACAAAATAAAATATTACTTTATTTATAAATTTAAATAAAATTTAATTATATATTACCTCATTGCTAAAACATTATATATTTTTTAAATAAGATATGAATTGGTAAAAATGCTCAAAAAAAACCACAGATTATTACTAATACTCAAGCCCACTTACATTTTGGAACTCGAATCTTCTGTCACCAGCCAATTCATAAGCATCATTAATACACTACTTAAGCCTAATTCTTTGAAAAATATACATACAGAAGACTCTGTATATAACAACTCCTCTATGATGAACTCCAGATATAAAGAATTCAAAATTTAAAATTTCATAATAGTTTGGTACAGTAAGTATCATGGGTCCTTAAAAAAACATAGTAATTTTCTATAACAAACTTTTTTTTTCCAAAACCGTCAGTTCATTATAGGAAAAATTGACTGTATATAGATATAAATTAAAGATTTGCAAGTATTGGAAAACACTATTGAAACATAGTGCCAAGTACGAGCATGTGTACTATGTTTTAATAGTACACATCCCAGACTTGCAGAATCCTAATATGGATTAGTAAAATGAAGTATCGTGAAGTGCTAATTTGCAAATTCTCTATGGGAATGACTTGAAGATGAAATCTGATTTATATCCAAATAGTATACATAGTGTCTAAAAAAATAGATAATTTTATTTTTTAAAATATAGAAATAGCTGGATTGCATAAAGCTTTAAAAATTTAGGATAGATAAAAAATGTATATCTTTAGTCCCTGTAAATACCCGAATAGATCTATCAACACTTTACAATGACATCTCTACTAATACCTGAATATATTTACATATGGCCAACAACGGAACTCAGGTCCTCTACCAATAAGTTAACTCTTACGCATCACTAATGACACAATTTCTAGAAAATATATGAATCAGTAAAAGTGCTTAAAGAACGAAATAAACCATTTTTACAATACTTAAGCTTACTTACCCCTGGCCAACAACAGACACGATTCAAGAACTCAGATTTCCTGCAATCAGCCAACTTAAACGTATCTCAATACCAACTCGCGCTCAAATTCTGGAACAAAGAGGTTATAAAGTTTGGATCTATTGCGGTATAGGTGATTCTTTTAATAAAACATATTATTAATTGACTGATTATAAAGTGGGGCACCTATAGTGCAAGAGATCCAAAAATTTTTAAAACCATGTCAGAAAATCGAGAGTAAAATCGATACTAAGCTAAATCTTTTAAGTTTGTGCTACAGTATGCGGGCATAACGAATTTCTTTACAGCAACTAAAAATGTATCGCATGATTAATTTAGGACTGGTCCTGGACCGGGACTGAAAAGACCGTAAGACCGATATAAGGACCGCCTTAGGACCGGTCTTTTGCAGGACCGGTGCATCCCTAATTATAGTACACAAGTACCTGTACATTGCACTTGGGTGTCATTATTTTTTTGGCTTCTTGATACTAGTATCATTAATACCTTCATTATTTCAAAAACTCTCAACTTACAAAGACTTTAGAATAAATTTAGTGTGGAGTTTAATCAAAGAATCATTAGAAATGAACAAAAAATTATATACACGAAGAAAAAGTGCAATGATTCAATCAGAATTACACAATCAAAGTTCTGAAAAAAGACCATTTTATGTTACAAAAAAGTTCGAATTACCTATTGAATGATTACATTCACAAAACCATTATCCAGTATATCGTGAAAAGAGAGTTTGGTGTTTGTTTCAATATGTGACCGAGAATGGAAAACATGACGATCATTTGCCACGGAGTAATATGTGGTGTACAGTGTGTAACGTTCCTTTATGTATTAATAAGCAACGCCCGGATTGACGTAACACGATCAAACCAAACGTTCGTTTTATCAAAAATTGCATATTTCTCAAAATCAACATACAGAACCACTTTTAGCGCTCTAACAAAAAGTTTTCCTTGAGCGATTGTACTATATAAAAATCCAGTCTTTAAGTTTATTCTAAACAATAACCTACTGTTATAGCACAGAATTTTTTCATTCCATAAACGGACCTTTTGATTGGCTAAGAGCGACGATCCAAAATTTTTCCTGGAATTATTCTAATGAAATCACAACCGCCATTAAGTGAAAATTGTTCCTTGGCTAATTTTACCATTGTGTGGGCCTATTTATTTTGAAAATTTCTATTTTTGAATGAAAAGGTTAAAAAGTTAATTCCGGCCAGAAATTAGTAAACAATTATGCAATGCGGGTCAAAATTTTGCAGATCCACGGCCGTTAGCCAATCAAAATCGAGAATCTGCCAGGACAATTTTGCTATAGAATTTTTGCTGCGCCGCAAACCTGGCATGTATTCAAGAATTACGAATTCCTTTTAATAGATTAGGTAATATTCAAAAATATTGGAGATAGAGTTTTGGCAACCTGGCTAGATAGGATACGATATGTAAAATATGTAGATGGCGAAGATAAATATACACGTTTACGTATACCATCATATAAAGTGATATTTAAAATATTGACCCGAACGCGAAATTTAACAGATAATTTAGAAGAGGTAAGGCTATATAATGCTACTTTCGTATACTACTTAAAGGAAATCGTGCATTCAAGTTCATTATTTATTATTAACTGGATCCTCTAATCGGCAACACGTATTATATGTTACCAGTCAAGGCCTCGGGCTTTTAAATATATTAAACTTTTCGAGGGTTGAATCCGATAAATAATCAAAAAACTTGAAAGCCCGAAGACGCATTTTTCCTTGTAGAGATGGGCAAGATAATTACCTATTACGCATAATGTGATTTAATTTTTTACATAATAAGTAATTACCTTGCACTCATTATTTCTTGTGTTCATATAATGATAATTTTACATATATATTTTAGATAATGTGTAAACTGAGTGTCATTAAGAAATAAAAATGCTTGTGGA